ATGTGCTAAGAAAATAGGTTGGTGCTAAGATATGTAGAATATCTTCAAGTAGACTGTTCTTCAGTTTTTCAGGTGTGCCCTAAAGGACTTTGCCAAGCGACTATCTACCTAGATCTAAACAACCTATAATTGATCACAAGGCAAGCTCTGATGCAAGAAAGGATGGCAACAAAGGCACACTGCAAAGAATGACTGAGTCAAGTAGCCAGTGTGGGAGCAGAGATACTTGGCTTGGCCTGCCTGGTACAGTGTGGGTTATTATCACAGTTGGGTTTTGAGGTCAGTGTAAACGTTACTGACTTTCAGTTCAATGTCAAGAGAGGAGGGATGGCTGTTTTTTCTGTGCTGAATCGCGAGAAGTGAGAATCGAGAATTGAGAATTGAGAGAATAGCTCTCATCTGTTTCCAAACATACGGAAGCATTTATACAAGTTCTTGAAAAATTACTTAGGCTTTTGTATTTATTTATCTTCACATTTTTCCCTCTCTCTTTATAGAATAGTTTCCATTACCCCAACTAGATTAAGAAGGGGGCAATACACTGATTTCTTTTTTTCGGTATTCCAAGGGGCTTCTCAGCAAATAGTTAAAAACTGGTGGCTGTATTTTAAATCTGATTGGTTTATCTTCTGCTCGGCTGTAACGGAGGGACTACAGAGCACTAACAATCTGGTTTAAGCACAAACAAAATAAATGGAACAGATTCATATGAGTTTTATTTGACGTGTTTACAGCCAGCATTTACACTATGTGAGCCTCTTGTGTTGTCACATTGTGTTTGCTGCTGTGGTCTGCTCGGCACTGTTGTCTAGTGACAGCATGCTGGGCTGGAGGGAGGATTAAGTGTTGCAGGTGTGTTTGAGGGAGCCTTTGGCGTGCAGTCGAGGAAGGAATGAGTCACTCTTCATGGTCATCATCCAGGACAGAGTCAGGAACCTCTCATCTTTTAAGGGTTCTTTTTTTTTACCCACACAATGCCTCACTCTGTCCTACACCCACTACAGGGATAGTCACAGAGCATTCAAATACAAATGGCTCATCCAATGTCAGGTCTCTATCTGTCTCTACTTTTGTTCTCATTCCTTTCACCAACTGTCTTCCTCTGTCTTCTCTTATCTCTTATCCTCTCTAATCTCACTTCATTCCTCTGCTCATTCTGTCTTTGGGCCATTCACTGTGGTTGTCTCTCGGAGGTTACCATATGGCAGTCATTTAGTTCACAGAAAACGCATTTCGCTTGTGTTGCAGCGTCTTATGAATTACACTGGTTAGCACAAAGGACATTCTACACACTTAGTGAACATTTCTTGTATGTCTTCCCTGTCCTCTCTTTTCCATGTGTCCCAGGCTGCTGAGCTGGCCCCAGCCCTGCAGGCGGACATGGAGGTGAAAGAAGCCATCGAAGGTGCTATCCACGGAGAGAATGGTGAGGTGGTCCAGATCGTCACCTCTGTGGCCACCTGAAAGCCCACATCCAGTTCAGCACAACTCAGAACTCTGCCCCACAGCATGGCCTGATGAGTGTCAGTAGAACATAGGAGGTTAACTAATGCATACAATCTCAGTCTTTTACCGGCCAGATGTTGCAATGTGGAAACGTTCACAGAGAACTTGAAAAGACAGTGATACTCCAAAATCAACTGTGGTCTTTCTGGTGTTTTCATCACCAGAATGGCCTGGCCCACCACAGAATACACAGTGGGATTATTGTCTATCCAGGGGAGGATGCTGCTTATGCAGTCCATCAGCCTGCCACTTCATCAGCATACACGCTTGTTTACACCAACTTGGGAAAATAGTGGAGTTATTTGGAGTTAAGCTGCTTGGCTAACCCTGAAACACCCGTGAGGGTTTGTAAAAACCTCTGAACCCCACCTCAAACAACCAGTACTCGTCATTTCTTGTCACGATGGACTGCAGTGGAAAGTAGCAATGTTGTAATTCATTCAGTTTCCTGTCCCTCTACATGAATCTGTCCATACTGTGTCTCCCAGCTGTTATCCATGCCTTCATTTCTTTCTTCTGCTTGTTATCATATTGCTTTAGCTACACAGCTTTTTTTGTTTGTTTGATTTATCTAATTGTAACATGCCAAAATTTTGGGGGATATTTAATTTCAGAGGTAGAACAACATGAAACAAAAGTGCCGGATGACAGTGGTATACAGTACAAGCTGCTTGTAGAATACAGAGGAAGCCTTGAAGTTGTTTATTTCCCCCATTTTGTCTCTATGTAAGATACATTCATGTGAATAAAACATGTTTGCGGTTGAATAAAAGTGTGTTTTTATTTTCTTTCTGTATTCTCACTTTATTTCCATCAACCGTGTCATCAAAATGGCTTCAAAATTACCCAAGACATGACAGTGCTTTCATCTGCAACATGCAGACAGTTGAGGAAAGCGTGAAATAATAGTTTGTTTTCTAGGTCACCCGAGCTATTTTTGTTACTCTTTTTGAAGTAAGTAACCATACAATTAGGCTACTGTATTGTCAGCAGTCCTAACAAAGGAGACAGAAAAAATAGGTTTTGGTCTCAACAAAGGTTTTGCCAAAAAAGTTAATATGTCCTCATTATAACAATTGATCCAGACATTTCTTCAGAATCCACTAAATGATTGTTATTTTCCTGTCAGCACAGACAGAATGGGCTGTGTTGGAGTGATGCTCCACTACTGATAAATTATCTGTAGTCACAAAAAAGACATTGAGGCTATGTGTTGGTTTGGGGAAGTTTCCCAGGCTTGGTGTGATGTAATAGTGTATTTTGGGGAAAGAACCAGGCGACAAAATTAACTTGATAAAACACCAGTGGTCTTGGCTGATTTCTCTTGTTTCCTTCAGTCTGTTGTTGCTGTCTCTGACCCCCTTTACACTGGCTCTTCATGTTATCCATTCCCCTCTCTGCCCTCCCACTCAGCTTGTGTTTTTGTCTCTTCTCTGGAAGCTGTGTTAAAGTCCATTTACTCCCCTTTAAATTCCACACTGAGCTAACATTTCATGGAATAGACTAGAGGGCCCTTGCCTTTAAAATAATCTTGATGTGACTCAGTCCAAATCTTGGCCTGGACAACCGTCTACCCCCAGTGACCCCTTCATTAAATCTTGGACTTGGAAGGAAACAGACCCTGTTCATAACAGCCTCTTGGGCTTCATTTTTACAGCTCTGGGCTCCATCCAGGAGCTGGAGTGGTTACCATAGTGATGGGCCCTCTCTCAGGCTGCATCTAAGATAACCTGCTGAAAACTGAAATGGATGATAGATGGTGAGATGAGATTGTTTGGAAGTGGAATGCATGTTTTAGGAGAAGGAGTAGAGTGATGGACAGAGACCAGGCAGCATATCTTTCCCTTAGCAGCTCTGTGTTTTCCTGCAGCGATAGCAGCTCTGGCTGGCATTTGTTACTACATAAAAGTACCAACTCCTGCTACATGCATGGCTTTGACTACTGCATGACTCCCCCCTCCACTCAAATGTTTAACAGGGCCGGAGGAGTTCTCAGGATTATGTTATGATGAGTGAACATATTTGTTGGAGCAAAAATGTCCAAACACAGGGTGTCTCCAGGATCATAAATCAGCCATTGTTAATCTTGGGGGAACAAAGCTCCCAAGAACAGCCAGAATGGATCTATCTTGAACCAGTGGACAGATTACACCAAAGGAGGAGCTTTACAGTTTACACTTTTTTGTGTCTCTCACTTGCTGAACATTTGAAAAGGTCATGGGGCAACAATGGAAACTTTTCCTTTAGATACATCTCTACCCTTTGATTTTTTGCATGTCAACACAGCATCTAACTTTATAGATATTAAATTACTGCAGCAACTATTGGGCTGGAGCCAGTAGAAGCTTGGCAACATACTGTAGCTGTTGTTACATGCGTCATAATATGGCACAAGCTACTAAATGTCACTGTTTGGGATGATGAAAGCCTGAACATTATCACTATAGACAGTAATCTAACTGCCCCTTTATAGTAGTTAATAAAAGATACCAAAAACTGCTAAAAAATATACTTCTTGATCACATATTAGTTGGGGGTTTTTTGTATATGCTTTATATTACTCCATTAATCTCTCCTTCCCACAGCACTAAAATTCACACACATTTTACTAGTATATAGGCTAATAAATATATAAATGTAAGCAGTAAAAATGATATAAAAGGAGGGTGATCCAGGTAGAACAGAAATGTGAAATTGTTCACACATGTGTAAATATACTGTAACTGACAATACCTAAAACTACAGGTGCTTTCCACCCCTAGTTATCACAGTAATGCATTAGCAGCTCCATTATTTTTATGTGGGTTAAAGGGGATGCAATTACATCATTTACATTTATGTGCTGGTATGATTTCTCTGAATGATGCCATTTACAACATTGCTTCCCAGTAGGAACTTTTAGTTGTGTCTGATATAGGCCATTATTCTATATCTCTGGCACTAATATTGTTTAATGCAGCATTTTCTCTCCTGGTTGGTTCTCTTGTTATGTTATTCATCTTAACGTCTTAATCACTAAGCTTTTAAAGAGCTGCACACGCGCTGGATGTTGATGTTATGCCACCCGGGAATAGAGGGATAGGTCCATACATTCTTTATTAAACTGACGATTCAAAGAAATGAATGACAGTTGAATCAGAACCAGCAGGGAATCCCTTGACTAAAGTAGTAAAAAGTGGGAGAAGTGGGTGTGCAGAGCGCAGCTGAATCTGCCGGGAGGGGAGGTGCTCGGTTTAGGACCAGATGTGTGAGAGGGGAGGGGTAGCTTACAAACAGACATGCTGCCTGGTCGGCGAGTTTCCTAAAAACAAACCATAAAAGTTGACAGTTCGGACCGATCGAAGGCTTCCAACTGAACGCCGTAGGTAAGTTGTCTAATCTTATTGATCACCCGCAGCCTTGTGTTAATTGAAACGCGCGTGCGTCGATGTCCTGAAAATGAATTACGTGATGACGTGAAGGGGAAACTGCTTAAAAAGAGTCAGAAGATGCTTTCTGATGCTTCTCCGCTGCTTTCATTATGAGTACATTGGGCGCATGTGTTAACTCAACAACGTAGCCAATGCAACCCAGTCCAAATACTGTGGAGTCACAGTGCTGTGACTCAGTGCTGTGACTCAGTGCGCCTCAGCTGACAGGTCACCACACCTCTTCATGTAAAGAGTAAAGCAGGTGCATCGTGACAAGGACCCGAATCAACAAAAAAAAGTAATCGAAGATTTAACTAAAGTGATTTAGCTTACTCTGATACATTTTATACCTAATAGGCGACTTAAAGGCAGAAAAGTGAAGGCTTAAATCCTAATGATCTCTAATTTTAGTGTCTATTACAAGCAGCCTCATAGAAGGTGGCCCTCATTTGGAAATCACTGCCTGTGCAAGGTTTATAAGGTATGGGACATTCCCGTGTATTTTTTATTACTTAAAATTTAGACATGATATAATTCAGTTGAAGGGTGGTATTATCAGTGTTTGTTGTTACACTAGGGTTGTGGTATTCATAGGTGTGTGTGTGTGTGTGTGTGTGTGTGTGTGTGTGTGTGTGTGTGTGTGTGTGCATGGATGGTCTGCAAGAAATCATGTTGGATGACTAGGGGGCCATGACTGTTTTATGAGCCACAGTGGTATAAACATCCAGTCTTACTTGCAGATATTAAGTGTCTGAGCCGGAACCATTATCCAGTGAGTTCTGTGATCTCTTGGACTAAGTGAACAACTAATTTCATTACAAGTTTACAAGTCATTGAGTATCTACTCTTTAGTGCAAGCTGTAGGTGATCCAATAACATCAAGACTACTTCTGCCCAGCGAAGACTATCATACAGCGCAGCATTTTTGCAGACTGATAATGAATAGTAAGATATATTTATCCTGCGCATCTTTTGCTTCTGCTGTTTCTCTCTCCTTATCATTGGCAAATGCCTGACTACACCTCACTGAAAAATCCAGATGGATCATGTCTGTGAAAATATGCATCAGGATCAGGATAGCTTCACTTTGAGAGACGTATTGTTCTTACACTATAGGTCAGAGAGGGAAATTACTGCATCTTGCAGAGTATTTTTCTTCACAGTTTGTGAGTTTTAACATGCCAGAATGGCCTTTTGTTTTCAGAAACATTAGGGATGGAGAGAGGTCGAACACTTTGGACAGAGGCCGACTCTTGTTCCATGGGAGAACGACTGCTTGTTTGTTAACGCCAGAAAGCTCTTGTGTGATGAAAGGAAACTCCAATTTGGTTTTCACTGAGCAGACAAGTAAGTGCTCTGAAAGAGGCTGGGTTTGATTTGCCTCCTCTTATCTTTGTTATTTTTATAAATATAATTATGCCAGATGTGGCATGCGATACAAGGCTTTGTCTGGAGTCATAAATGTTTGATATCTGAAAGCATGTTTTCCTCTGGTCCAACTGTACCAGGAGGTCAGCCCAGGAAAACAGGGACTCAGAGGCTTCTGAAGCTGTTGAACACCGGTGTCTGACACTGTACCCCACCATCTCTGGTTATATTAACACATTAATCTGTCAGAAATATCAGAGAGAATCACTGTGTGTGTGTGTCTGCAGCAGTCAGGCTCATGTGAATTTACAGTGTGTCTGCCTATATGCTGGTGAGAGAGACACATTTTATTGTGTGTGTGTGTGTGTGTGTGTGTGTGTGTGTGTGTGTGTGTTTTTGTTTGTTTGTTTTTTTTTGCGAGTTTACACAACTTCATTAATTGAGCTACTTGCCTCCTATTGTTGTGTTAGCACCATGGAGCAATATGTCTCCTTATCTGATTTTGGGATTGTACCTGGTACTGTACTATAAGCAGAGAGTCTCAGGCCAAGCCACTTGCTGGCTCCTCTGTCCCAGTCTGCACAAGACAGCCTGTCACCAAAGTCAGCAGAGGCCAAGAGACAGTAAAGTCTTGTTCAGAGTTCGAACATGTCTCTGGCCAGACAGACTGGATACATGCCAGCCACAGAGAGATATAGTTCCACAGTCATGGAAAACCAAGACATGGAGAGATCAACAGGGCTGGAATAATTCCATATATTTGACTCTGACTCTGATATGGCAGTGCATTTGGGAATGAACAATGGGAACTTTGGATAGGAAGAGGGATTAACAAAGAGTTCAATGGGGTGAAAGTATTAGACAAGGAGACAAGGAAGAGGAGGACAACAATGTGATTTCCAGCTTCAGCTGGGTGAAACATTACAAAACCTGTATGTATACTAGTGATGGCAGGTGTTTACTTATTTAACAGATGTTTAGCACAGACATACCTTCATAACAACCAACTGACCATTATGACTCTCTTTCGAATCAAAACTGTAGTTTACAAATCCAGTGAGGTAAATTTCATTCTCTTTGGTTTATCAAAGATCCAATTACTATTGCTATTTTTTGCATCTTTAATGTTAATGTAATATTCTTACTAGCATTTGTTGGTTTGTCTGTTGGTTGGTGTTTTTTCACAGCATAACTGAAAATGATGAAAAATGCTGAAATTTTATTGGCCCACGGAACAATCCATTAGATTTTGCTGCCTATCCTGATCACCATCTGGATCCAGGAATTTTTAGACGATTCTTCACCATTATGAGATGGGGCCAATCTCAGTATTTCTGCTTCTAACTCCATGCATAATGCCTACAATGCTTGGATAAAAATAGCACATTAAGATCTACATAAGATCTACCACACACCAGAGTATGAGCTGCATCCAAGTAATGTTCCAGCTGTGGTGATCCAGAATGTTCAAATTTATAGGGCTCACAGAAAACTCACTACTGTGAGACAATACAGGTAAATCATGCTGCACACTTGCAAGATCAAATTCTAACGGAGACTCTGCTGACTCAGCAGGGTGTCAGCAGATTTGACGTATCTTCAAAGATTACTGAGCTAGATCCTGAAGAAGGCCGCCATTACTGAAATATCTTTTTGTTTTTAAACAACTTTCAAACTAATAATGAGATCAGTGTGATTCCAAATCCCAGGGGTAGGTTTTCATGGTCAGGGAATCATATTATGAGGGTCAAACTATCATGGGAATATTGATTTTAGGAGTGATGGCTTCACAGGGACAGTGAGCTGACTTGGCGGAGGTTTGTGCTCTCTTGAGTGCTGTCCAGCTACACATTTCTTTGCAGTAGCTCAGTCTTTTCTCTTTTTTGAACCAACGGTTTCTTATCGCAGTATGGAGTGGATGAGATGGGAGGGAGAATGGAAGTGACAGATAAAGATATCAGCTGGAATAGCCTCACAAGAAGGGAAGCTGGTTATATTTCTCATATATTGCATTGCCCTAATACAATGTGTCAGGAAATTATGACCCCACTTATAAAGTGGGATCGTACTGAGTAGACACTTACCCTTCACAACAGCAGCACTTGGCTCCAGTGTTAGAAATGGATCTTGTTTCCTTAGGAGAATGTTGTATCCATTGGTTGGATGTTTCCTGTTGTTCTGAGGCTAGTAAATCTCTCTCGTACTGTCTACAATGATGTCTCTAATAAACTCAGTTTAATCCTCTAAAATTATTTGCCAGTTTAAGTTGTGTGATTTGCTGTCTTAGAGGAAATTGCTAAAGATTCTTACAGTACGTCCTTACAAAAGTAAATTAGACATAGTCAGAGTAAAGGTGCTAAAGAATATCTTGTTAGAAAACAGTGAGTTCAAAAGACAATTTTTTTGTGCCACAAAATCCATCTGCTTCTCCAATAACAGCGCTGTGTGTGAGCATGTTTCTTGTTTTTAAAATGTGTTCTATCACTTAGAGCTGAAATGTTTTCCAAAAATGAGAAACACTTGTCCAAAATCACACACACACAAAAATGCTGCCTTAGAACATTACCTACTCAGTAGACCTTCCCATAGTAGGCATTTTGAGTAGAAGGAGATATGTTGGCCATTAGGTGGACTAATAAGCCATTCCATTGAGTCGGCATGCACAATAACAGGATGCTGACATTAGCTTGGCACAATGGAATACATTCATTCTTGCTACGATGTGCCTTAATGTCTGCTGTGATGAAGGTCTAGTATGTCATGTAGTCCATTTTATTTGTGAAGTCAGGGACAGTACCTTTTAAAAGTTGCTTTCCACATGGTAACCTCTGAAACCACACTGTAGGAGATCATTTATTAGTATCTAGTTCCATGAGTAATACATCAACAGCAAAAAAATGACTGTACATGTCATTTCTACCAGCAGGTTATTATGACCAAGAGTTATGTAGTACAGTTTGGCAACCTGTAGCAAATAATTATGACAAGCAAAGGGGGAAGTTCGGGTGACAAAGTATATAGAGCTACAAAGTCCACTTTAGGAGGAGGGTTGGGATTGGTGGCTGGTACATAAAGACAGGACTTCACCCAAGGTGAGCGGTGTTCTGCTCCAGTGTGTAATGTGTGTTTTTCAGTATTTTTTTGTTCCTAAACCTAACCAAGATGTTTGTATCCCTAAAAGAAATGAAAACATGGCGGTTTAATGTTTATGACAATCTCCTTAATGATGGAGTTCTGGTACACTTGTCATCATAACCTCATGTTTAATCGCTTCCTTGATGACAAGGTCCAAAAAGCTTTCCAGTGTGACCTATGTTGTCATTAATATTGACAAAATCCTTGCAATTCTGCCTGCCAACGTGGGGGTGCTATATCAGGAGATGTTCCTTTGGGTCATATGAGAGGAAAGGGACAAAGGACCATATGAGTTGTATAGGTTGGAAAACTTGTTGAACACATAGCTCATAAAGTAGGTTAATATCAGTTGGTAGGATAAATGTCGATTTATTTATTTATTTTATACCGACATTGTTCAGGATCCCTACTTTAAATTACAAACCAGCCACAGCAGTTGGTTTCCTTAATTCACAGATCTGACCAGCACATAGCCTGCTGTCATTATTACCACCTTTATGCCTTTTCTGTAGCCCCTCTTTGTCTCACATTCTTTTTGTCTTTCTTAATGAGCTCCAGAAAGTGTGTTTACTAAAACGAAGAGAATAGAAAACTAGAAGCAGATCCTCATTAAATCACACATGCGGTACTTTAGATAGGAAGCACAGGGAGAAGGATGTGAAATGAACCTTGCTGTGATGTTGTTTGGCCAAGCCATTGGTGTTTGGGTCCAGTCAAAACCCTGTGTTGTCCGAATTGTGCCATGGTTATGGAAGTGAAGATGTGTGGAGGAAACGCAGGGAGCTGTTGCCTGATAGCAACTTTTGTAATCAGTGCCGAGGAAGAATCTTCTTCATTTCAGGGATGTGTGCTGCCTGCACCAGCAATAGGCTCAGCTGTACTCATCCCAAGAAAATGAGGTGAGTTTTGTTGTACCCAGCTGTGTCTTGGCTCAGCAATAGTTTAGTGCAATTATACAATGAGAGACAAGATGAGGAA